CTGATTGCGATTCAGTGTTTTTTGTGACCATCAAATATTTGGGTCACTTTAACAACTAAGTCAGTGGCATCTCAATTAGTACCAAAAAGATTTGCGCATCTCAAATTTTCGGGGTTTTTTCCCAACTTCAGACCCGAATCTAGGTTTTTTTTTTATAGGATCAATTAATAACAAAACGGCTTCGAATAAAACACATCTAAGCTGCATCAAAGAAATTACAACCAAAATTACCTCAACATTATCTGGTTCTCTGTTTCGTGCTTCCGATTCATCACGATCTTCTTGTGCATCTGGGGGCTCCAGCGCCTCTCCTTCGAGGCCCATTCCCGGGCATAAACTGTACATATTATAAGATGCTTCCGGCATCGTTAGTGAAATTTCGGGGTTATCTGCACGTTCTAAAAGTTCGGCGTAATATACCTTCAGCATCAAAATTTTTGGCAAATCTTCCGAAAAATCGATGACCAAAACCGCATCATCTAATGGCCAGCACTGCTGGTGATTCTGATACCCCCACCTCCTCCTCCCTTGCTTTTTCGCTATCGTAGACAAAAATGCTAAATGTAGTATTTCTCGTGACAAAATAAGTAGACAAACGGCGCTAAAGTGCAAAAAAGTGAAAAATTTAAAGCAATCTGATACTCAGCATAGAAGAGGGGGAGACCATGATGCTTAGGAAGGAGCCGACAGGTAAACAAACAAACAAGTAAATAACGGAAAAAAGTAAACAAACAGCAATGAAGTGTGTAAAAAGCTCACCCAAATCAACACTGGAATCCTTCGCTGAATCACCCTGTGGACTTTTTGATTCTCTGGTTGTGGAAGTTTCATTGCCCGATTCATCGTCTGATCTGTTAACTTTTATCACTGTTCTTTTTTCGGTCCTACAAGTAACGTAACTGTCAAAATTATGAAAAGTAACTTCCTCTGTTTGGAGGAAAGGGGGGGGGGGGCGGTTACTGCTAAATAATCGAAGAAACTTTCTGCTTAAGGATGGCCAGAGCGACGACCACCAGACAAAGCAGTACTGATCAAAGCAACTGGAAAATTCACCACCTATATATCTGAAGAACCGCTTTTAAACATAGTCGTTCAAGTACTCCAAAAGCCAACTCTGAGTTTAAAAAAAAACCAATCTCAAGTTTTTCAAAAAAAAAAAACAATTTTGATAAACGTACCAATCTACTTTTTCATCATTTTCTGGAGATATCGTCGTTACGATTACAGGCGATGTTTTCTCGATCCCTTCATCATCAACGTTCTCATGCTTCTCACTGGGCAGCTCAACTTTTTCCACCTACAAATTACAGAAATAAATGTTTTGATTTATACACTTCGGGCAGTTTATAAGCTTTTCATCGACCTCATTATACCTACATAACTAACAGTGAAGTTCCATGTATAACTTAATTTCATTTGAATGATAACTACGAATTTCTCAAAAGTTCTAGTATCGCAGTGTTAAAATATGTTGCGAAAGGAAGATGCCAGCAGCAAGGAAAAAGCTGGTGGTGGCTAAAACCCTTCAACTTGCTCAGTTGCCTTTCGATTTCAGTGTGATACGCAAATATCCCGTCTCATGACTCGAGCTCTCCCTTCCGTGATATGTAACGTTGTGATTAGAATCAAAAATTAAAAAAAAAAAAAAAAACATTACCTCTTTCTGCAAGTCGACAACTGCAGTAGGAGCAGATCCTCGTCTAGAGCTTCCCGAACTACTGGTACTTTTGGAAGAACGTCGTATGCGTCTGTGGGTACGTCTGGTAACACGAATCTGTAATTAGCATGACTGATAAAACAAATCAGACTGTCGAAATGTCACTAATCAAGCAATTTTTAGAATTATGCTGGTTGAATTTTGAAGAAATTTTGAAGAATTTGGTAAGTTCAAAACTAATTTCATATTTGATAAATTCATATTATTTATGATGTTTGCTATAAATTCGATCCACTGCATTAAATATATAGAGTTTGTGGGTGTGAAAA